GAATCTCGCCTACAGTATAAATAGATTTTAAAGTAAACAGTACACATGAACTATATATGTTTGAGTACATTTAATGTTATGAATGCTATGCTATGTTATACTACATACACTTAGGCAGTACACCCGAATTATATGTGTTCGAGTACATGATATAGTATGTTATACTAGGTCATATTGCATACACCTTAATAAGTCAAGAGGAACTTATAAGAGTAATCTCAGTTGAGTGCCATACCAGCCTCCACAAGGGAGGTAACTCAAGCTCCACAAGGGAGAAAAATAATAATAATAATGATGTCCTCCGACTCAAGGGAGGCATTCAAGTTATAATCACGGTGTCATGGGGGACCTTGCAAACCCTCACGTCCCGATGATTGCGCGCAAGTGGTACGAGCACTCGGGCCCATCAGTAAGAAAGATAAGATAAGATAATAAGATTCTGATAAGACATCATAATTAAGCATAATTGGCTCATGCATATTTATTCATGTGAACTTACAGTTATTTTGCGGGAGATAGTTCCTACTTGCTGAGCGAAAGCTCATTATAGAATGTTTATACTGTAGGTAAGCAACCGGCATATAATGCCTGATGGACTGCTGGCGAGTGGACGAACGATGTGGGGCTCGGGATATGGATACCACTCGCAAATATTTCCGCAATCAGCTTTATGTTACAAATAGTTTTGTTAATTATGATTATGAAACAGATATGTTAAGGTTTGAATATTTTAATTAAGAAAGCAATTTCGTATTTTATGTTTATTATAAGACCTTTCAAAAAAAAAAAAGTGTTCCGTAAATTTTAAGAAATTTCAGTAAGTACAAGTTAAAAAGTTAGTTACAGTGACGGCCTCAAAGGAGGGTCGCTACAATACTTTCAACAAAGAGGACCACAAATAAATGCAATCGTTTCCAAAATATTTGAAGACACAAAGCCTCTAGCACTACCAATACCAACATCAACAACTATAGTGACAACGACAAGGTAAAATACTTATATTAAATTGTACCTATTACAAATAAAAAAATAATATCTAACATCTAAACTATATTTTACCATTTCAGCTCTCAAACAAAGACAATAGCAACAACTCAGACACCAGTGGATCCACAAACTCCAGACCCAAAGAAATCAACCGTTCGGTAAGTCATAAACTAATATTCATTATTCATAAATCAAACACAATATTTATAATTTTATATATATATCTAAACAAACTCTCATCATTGCAGTTCACGATCAAAAGAACCAGAACAATCTACAAAGCGGCCGAGGACCAGGTAATATCACTTCCTTTAAATCAAAATATTATCAATTTCATCCATTATCAATACTAACTTTTCAAAATTATACATATTATAGGTGAACAAAAAAAACAAGGCACCACAACGACAACAAAAATCTCAATCACAATGTAAATACATATTTAATAAAACATTATATAAACATGTTCAAATATCTATATATATATATATATAAACTGCTTTTGTATTGTAAAAACTATCAAGCTCTTATATAACATAAAACTTTTTAGCTACTTCTCCCTTCCTGCAAAAAAAAAAATTTTCCAATCACTTTAATCTAACAATCATCTTTTAACACTTTATCTTTAACCTTTATCATACTCAAAATATGTTTACATGCTATAAAATTGCTACCCGTTGCAACGCACGGGTATTTCACTAGTACAACACTAAAATCCACAACTAATTAAGCTAATAAATTATAACTGCTAAATCGGTTTGACCTTGAAAACTTTTGGCTTAGAGCGTTTGGTCATCCGCTCCTCAAAATCCTTAGCTCCACAAGAAATCCTCAAAATCCCTTCATTGCAGAATCCATATTCCTCAGCTGATCTATACAGAAGCTCCGAGAAATCTGCATCGCCTAACAACGTTGTACGAACCATGAACCGTTTAGCAGTGTCATCTTCTAATCCGACACAAATAGGCACATAACCTCGAGGCGTCAATGGCGGTCCTCTCAAACGACGTCGTTTTATGCTGAATCCTCTAGCTCCTACATATCTTCCCAACTTACTCCCTCTCATTCCCATTTTTCAAACTCTTAGTTATCTGATCTCTCTCTCTCTCTCTCTCTCTCCTCTCTCTCTCTCTGAATCTTTTGGTTGGTTTTTGGTTTTTGCTATAGAGTTACAATAAGAGAATAGATTTATTAAGGCCGTGCGTCGTACCACACTGTCCTATTAGCCATGCACAAATTATTTTTCTTTTCTTTTGATTACTTCACCGTTCCGTGACCACCAAGTTGACAATAGCTTAATTGTTTTCAATATTCTTGGTAGCATTATATTACACTTGAAATTAATTATTCGTCGTGAGATTTTCCATATAGTATGACAATATGATAATTTGATATATATATATATATAAGCCTCGTTCGTTTTACTAGTTTAAGTTGAGAATTTAAATTAAAATGTGAATTCATGTGAGAGAAAATATTGTAATTAAAAATGTAAAATTTAAATTTTTGTGAGAAAATACTGTAACAAAAATTTAAGTTGTGATTCGAACTATAAAAAAGAACGGGGCCATCAAATCTCCAATCTGATGAGCATACGAGTCTGATACTTATAATATCTTTTGTTCGTCATCTCATTTTATTTTTTAAAAAAATAAAAATTACCTCCATGTTATATTAGACTTGCTTTAGTATAAGGTTACAAGTCCCTATCAAAAACAGAGAGACGTGACAAATTTTAACGAGAGAGCTCGCGCGACGGCGAACTTCGATAGATGAACTTCGGCCGCCAACATCATCTGGATGTCGGCCTCCTTCTGAGAGAGCTCGCGCGACGGCGCTACGGCATTGGGGGTCGCCATGATTGAATGCTGAGGAAGATCGAAATCGAGGATTTTGCCCTCTGCGAATTGCTTTGCTTGCTGCTTCGCTTCCGTTCCGCAAGAGTGCGCAATTGAGGGGCTGAAATTCTGTGATCTTCTTGCCTATTTATATCGGCGCGGTTTCGAAAAACCCTAGCACTCGAATTTTTCTTTTCTTTTTTCCCCTATTTACCTTCTCTCTCTTAAATATATATATATATATATATATATTTTTAGAAATCATTTCTTGGCTAATTTTATTTTAGCTATAAAGAGTTGCTGAAATATCATGTCTTTAATATTAATAGCTCTCCACAACTTGTATATTTATCTATTTATATTGAGTAGTTTTTGGTTTTGATATTACTATGCACCGGTAACTCATAAGCTATCTTTCCTATTAGCATCTTGGATGTTCTCCAATGTGGGATAATATGTGATCTATCTTTTATGATTCACAGAAAGTAAAAAGAACTCAACTATTGCTCCCACACACATATATTTACAGTGAATTAGCTTTTGACGGGGTAGTGATGGAACAAGCTTTGTTCATTCCTTAATATTTACAGGATATGCTATTACATTTTTCTACAGAAAACTAGAAATGTTCTGAATGCTACTTATTATTTTAATTTACACTGTATAGGTTGATTTATCTAGTAAGGAGTTCAAGTTTACCCTCATTGCTAGACGGTCACGGCATTATGCAGGCACCAGGTTTGGCTGCATTCATCCTGCTTAAAGTATTTGTAATTGTTTTGCTATATTCTTTAAATAATATGCATCTAGTACATTTGACTTCTTCAGTGTGATCCATCACATTTGGACCTACAAATGGAGTTTGTGATCATGGGATTAAATTCGGATAGTGCTTCCTGATTTCATGTTGACTGGAGATTTTACTACCTATCTATGGCTAGTGCTTTCAATATCTTGTTTTGAATTGACGATATAGAAACACTGCATAGTTTTCTAGGCTGTGTTCTGTTGACCATAATTTATAGTTTGACTTTCCTTTTACTGGAGCAGATACTTAAAAAGAGGAGTAAACGAGAAGGGTAGAGTAGCAAATGATGTTGAGACGGAACAAATTGTGTCTGAAAATTCTTCTGAAGGATGTCCAACGCAAATAAGTTCTATTGTACAGATTCGTGGTTCAATTCCCCTTTTCTGGTCCCAGGATTCGTCACCTCTAATTGTTAGACCTGATATTCAACGTATGAGCTTTAGAAACCTTTTCTATCTTTTATTTTATTTATTTATTTATTTATTTTACTTTGATAGTATGTTACATGTTTTTCTGACTTCTGTACTTTTGGTCACGCCTCAGTATCAAGAAAGGACCATAAATACGAGGCGACGAGACTTCATTTTGAGAATCTTGTAAACAGATATGGAAATCCAATAATTATTTTGAATTTGATTAAGGTGAATTTTTTGCATTAGTTGTAGAATCAAACATTAAACTTCATCAACCTTAGCTTTTTCATTGTTTTCTACTCTCTCATTTTCTCTTCCTGTTGTTACAATTGGTCGTGATTAATAGACGCGTGAGAAGAAGCCTAGGGAGACAATTCTGCGTGCAGAGTTTGCAAATGCTATTAGATTTATAAATAGAAGTTTTAAAAAGGAGCACCACATTCGATTCTTGCAGTGGGATTTACAAAAACATTCTAGAAGGTACTTTTAGTTTTCCCTTCTATTGCGTATAAGTTTTGTTGTTTTAGAATGTGATTGAGATTAAAGAATCTGTACTTTTGCAGCAAAGCAACTAGTGTTTTGGCACAGCTAGAAACGATAGCTAAATATGCATTAAGCTTAACTGGAATCTTCTATTGTCAAGTCGCCCCAAATTCAAACGTTCCCTGCTTTGAGTAAGTTCTAGCCAAAAGACGCCACCTTATTTCATAATTTCCTTTTATTTTTGTTTTCTGCTGTTCTACATGTAACTTGTGTTTGAGGCAGAGTCAGCGTACTCTAGAAGCACACTACATTTTGTTTTGATTATCTCCTTGAAGGCCTTGTTGCAATGAATTAATGTTGCTACATTTTCCTGACTAATCTTTTACTGTGGTGTGCTGCAGGGAAAAGAGTAGTGTTAACTTCTCTTCAGAGAACCTTTCCAGTCAGAGTGAGAATGCTGATAACCAGGAAATAGAAATTTGCAATGGTAGTTGCGTTGTTGATACTGATGCTAGTGGAAATTATAGTGAAAAAACCTTAATGTTTCAGAAAGGGGTTCTAAGGACCAACTGTATTGACTGTTTAGACCGCACAAATGTTGCGCAATATTCCTACGGGCTAGTTGCTCTTGGAAGTCAACTACATACTTTGGGACTTATAAACTCTCCAAAAATTGATCTCAATAATCCTTTGGCCGATCAACTAATGAGACTTTATGAGACCATGGGTGACATCCTTGCATTTCAATATGGTGGTTCTGCAGCACACAATAAGGTGACTTTTCTATACTTTGCTGCAGTATTGATTTTATAATTCATTGGTTATCCGTAGGAGACAATTTGAGGAAATGTTTTCTTATATAATTTCTTGTTTCTTAGAAAGCTATCATTTATTGTTTTTATAGATTCTGTATATTAAGTTTAAATTCCAACTTATCTTCATTTTGTTTGCTTAATGTTTCATGTTTTTTTTCTAGCTTAAGATTTGTTCTGTTACATTAACCATTCTCAAATATATATATATATATATATACATTTTAATTCTTGATGCCAAACAGATATTTTCTGAAAGAAGAGGCCAATGGAAGCCAGCAACGCAATCACAAGAGCTTTTTAGAACTTTTCAACGGTATTGTAATAATACCTACTGGGATGGTGAAAAACAAAATGCTATTAATGTGTAAGTCAAACATGTCCTTGAATTGTTTAACCTATCAGCTAAAGGTGCAACGAAGGGGAAGTAAATTCATCTAATATGGTATTTGTTGACGTTGTCAGATTTCTGGGGCACTTTCAACCTCAACCGGGAAAACCTGCGCTGTGGGAATTGGGTTCAGACCAGCATCATAATTTTGGGAGGCATGACTCTAATTTTGCCAAAAAGTATGTTAGGTATGGAATTTGGTGTTACCTTCGCATCAGTCAAACTAATGGAACCTTTGCCGAGGATCCGTGCAACCATGTGTTCAATTAGGTTGTTGTTTTCTGCGGGTGTAGAAATGTTCTTTATTTTTTCACTTCATATTTTTGAATTTTTTCGGACAATGAATGACAGTCTCCAGATATTGTAATGGAGACTAAAAAGTTTTCCAACTCTCGAGGAATAGTCTTTGGATTGCAGACATTTGCTTTTACCGTGCTAATTGTTTTGAATCTAGTTTTAAATTTGTTTGCCGACTTCTCATTGCATTTGTTGGACCGTGCTTCTAGCTTTCTTCCTGGCTCTAGCTGTTCTTAGTCTATATATCTTGTCCAGCCAATTCCAACTTCTCATGAATTTAATAAAAAATTCCAAAACAAATATTGACAAAAATTCTTGACGGCTTAAGAGATTCTTTGAAGTATGAAAGGAGTATGCAAGAAAGAAAAGAAACATTGTAGCTTTCTATACATAGAACTTGCAAGGAAAGCCCTGGCCTTTTTAGTTTCTAACAATCTGCTATCTTTGTAGGTTGTTTATTAAAAGATCACTATCTGATGGCAATATTCAAAGTGACACGCCTATGGCAAGCAGAGTTGGATGCAATCAGCCTTTGTCTGAAAAAGCAGAAGGTCTTTCAGACTCCACGCCGGTGATTCCAACTTGTGAGAATGATTTATCTTATTGCAGGTCTGTATTGAACATATTTCCTTTGCTTTCTACTTAAGTTTAAAATTCTAGTCTATCTGCAAGTACAGTAATCAGAGGCCTATGGAAGTATGATCTTTTGTAGTTTTAACTCGTTTGTCTGATATGTGAACCGTCTTTTTGTAGGTATTTCCCTTCGATGTCTCGGAAGCACTTTTTTAGATTGATGCAAGAGGAACAGTCTCTTGACCGCAATCTGATCTCTTATGACGAAGATGAAGAATGCAACTTATCAGGTTTTATGGACTCTGATTGGCTGTCTACGTCTGGAAATTCTTGTGAAGAAGAAACATATGAAAGGTAATCTCATGGTTCATTTAGGTTGTCTACACTTTGATTAATTTAATTAAAAGCACAGGTATTTTCTTCATTCTCTTCTAGGCTCGGGGAATTTCATTATTTTGAATGTATAATTCCACTTTTTGGTTTGGACCAGACGGATTTTTGAGTAAGATTTACTGCTAATGACTGACTACTGCTCTACATGACAATAGGTTTCCTGCCTGCCTTTCATCAGAAAATGTTGAGGATGGACTAAAAATTGAACTTACTAAACCTGCAAGTAAAACTGGCTCCAGTGTACAGGTGAACGTTTTATTATCTTGCCGCCTCATCAGAAAAATTCAGCAGTTGAATTGTTGCCTTCACCCATTTACTTGCCCGAGTGTAAAAGAGAAATTCTTACTTTGTGTAAACAAAGTTTTCTTTTTTGACTGAAATTTTAAAATCCACTTTCTTCTCTTTATTCTGCTTAAGAATGAAGTTATGTGAAACAATTTTACTGTGTTATCTTATTTCAGTTTCATAATCTTGACTTGTGATTGTGCAGGAAACGGAGCAACCCGAGCTCAGTCGCGACGGCGACTTTGCTGAATTTTCTGAGAGCTTTGTAAACTGGGTATGTGAAGGAGGTTTGCTGTTTCGTTAAAATAACTAAGGCCTCGTTCATTTCGCGGATTCGAGTTTTTAATTCGAGCTGAGATGTGACATTTTCTGAAAACTTTTCACTGTAGCAGAAAAAGTTAGATGTGACATTTTCTGAGAGCTTTTTAATGTAGAAACCTAAAATTGAAAATTTGAATCAGTGAAATGAACGAGGCCTAAAGGATTTCTTTGTAACAATAATTCCTACATCATCCGATTCAACCCGTCCGAAGGATAGGGTTCCTGTACAGCAAATAAACGGTAAAGGAATCAATCAAAAACTCAACTGAAAAGTACTTTCCAGGGTGGAAATCAGTCTTCACTTGATGCGAGATTCCGCGGGTGGTTCAATTTGATCTCGAGGATCCTTCATTCTTTGTTTAGGAGCACCAGAGTAGATACATGCGTAGATGACAATTTTACAATTCTTTGAGTTGCTCTCTAGTCTCTACTTAACCTCTTCTTCTGGGCCGAAGCTCAGAAGTTTTGACCTTTGTAAATATTCTATAAATAGGACCGTGAGAATTTGGTTCTCTCAATTATCTACTTTAGATTCATTTTCATTTTTGTCATTGTTCCATGGTTGTTGTGTGGAGATGGGTTTGTCATTTAACCAGTTTTCAATCGTACAAGAAAGAACGAGTGTTGCCCTTCGCGAATTTAGCAACCTCGGACGTCCATAACCTACACTTGACAACCTTTTCAAGATTAAAGTAAACTGACGCAAATACGTTTTTTACTACCATAATTCCTTCGGCCAAAACGGATAAAAAGTGTACGTCAATGGCTAATTTCTTTAACAGAATACGGAGATATTTGCAATGCCCGTATCCAGTCAAATTCTTGCTGCGAAATCGATAGTATAATTTTCTATGTCGTCTCGTCTAACGTTCTTCCACTATACAGCGGATTTTGCTATCATAAAGTTCTTCCAGTATGCAGCAAGCTTCAATTTTCATAGTAAATTCAATTTTGCTATCGTACAAAGCCCGAAGCTTTAATACGAAGCGCCAATTCAAGCAATTTTCAGTTTCTTACGCTCAATATGCTTAAAGTATCATAACCCGTTAGTGACATTATCCACACACAAAATGGCTGAAAATTCTAATTATTAATCCCAAAAGTATTTACTTCGCAGCGTGTAATTAAACTTCAAACATAATTTGGCAAAGCATCTTGAAAACTCCGTTTCCAAGTTTCAGAGAATCAGAAAACTTCCTCTTTATATAGACTCGGATAATAATTGCAAAAATCTCTAGTCAAAAAACATCCAAAAACTCAACGTCTAAAATTTAGACCGCGCCACCAAGAAATAAAATTCATATCCAAAAATGGAAATACAATACTTTTCTCATGGATTAAAAAAACAAAAAACTAAAAGAAAAACATAATCTAACTCAACTATGGCTTCAACGTCATGGAGATTTTTAATCTGCCAGACTTCTCTTAATCCCAGCCTGTAGAGGCAGGGGCAACAGCACCATCTACTCCAGTAGGTGGTGCTTGAGCAACATCCCAACCGTCAGACACCACGGGTACAGCTGCAGCTAAACAACGTGTCAGCATAGATGTTAGTGGCAAACCAAATTGAAAATTCCTAGTATATGCGGTTTGGCAAGGTGTCAAGCAGACTTAGGTAATGCAAAGAAAAAAGTGTAGCACTAACCTCCTTCTTCTCCACCCCAGTTGACGGCGCTACCTGCAGGAATAGCCTCTGCGGCGGGCCAGGGAACATCAGCTATTTGGGAAGGCCATTGATCAGCGGCAAGGCCACCGATACCAGCAGCTCCAAAATCTGTAATTCCATGGTCCGCCGTGACGGCAGCTTCTTCTTCCTCCTGTTGCTTTGCCTCCTCAGGCTCCCTATAGAAGAACAAGTCCGCCTGCAGATACAAACGACAAGACCGTGGAAATTTAGGTCAAAGACACTCCTATTGAACACTATGCTAAGTTGCAATCAAAAAGCATTCTTGAATAAACCATAAATCTATTCAGTGTATACCATCACATCCCACTTGTGCCCAGCACGAATTGTGCCACGCATCTGCAAAACCATCCTTGCCAACAGCCAAAAGAGGCATCCAATGCTGTGCTTCCCCTTGTTATTCGCAGGGATGCCGATGTCGACATACCGCATAGGAGAATCAGTGTCGCAAAAGGCAATAGTGGGAATGTTTCCGAGAGCAGCTTCCTTGATGGGCTGAACACAAAATCATAAATGTCAGATAATATTACCAATCAGAACAATCTCTTAATAGAGAATATGCACAATGCACCAAACTAAACAAAAGATAAAAATTACCTGGTGGTCCGTTCTTGGGTCGGTGAGAATCAGGAGACGAGGCTCATTGAAAGATGTCTGGAGCTGATTGGTAAACGTACCAGGAGTGTGTCTTCCAGCAATAGCTTGTGCTCCAGTGTACTGAGCAAACTTAAGGACTGCTCTTTGACCATATGGCCTGGCAGACTGGACAGTAATGTCCTGCGGGTTCTCTATGGCGACAATAACCCTGGCTGCAAGCTGGAGCTTTTCCCATGTCTTTCCAAGGTTGATAATGTAAATACCTAAGCGTCACAAGTTGAATACCCGTTTTCTTATTAATTAGAAGAAGCAGTATTTGGTAAATATTGCGTCCTATTTACAAGCAAATTTTCATATCAAGTTAGCATAGAAAATATTGAAAGTCATAAACTTGCAGTCACCAACTAATAAAAGAAAAGACGAGATTTTAGCTAAGAATGCACAAAAGAAACCCGAAGGAAAATTGCGTTTTTAGCAGGCACGTAATTTCATCTTTTTTTCCGGTCTAAGTCTCAGATCCCACATTAACAATATCAAGTAAAACAAAATATACAAAAGAATGATAGCAAAGATCTACAAGATATCCGATAAATCAACACAAAATCCGTCCACAACGAAACCCATTGACCTAAAAACGAATCAAAAATCCGCTTTAACCTTACAATCGAAAAAAACTAATACCCATTACTCTAGACACCGAAGAGGAAAAAAAAAAAAGGATAAACGAAAACAAATTAAGAGAAAACGAAAGAGAAAATACCATCATTTCTGCGCTTAAAGACGTAACGTTCCATCTGAAAATCGCAGTTCTTGGTGCCGAGATGAACTTCGGCCGCCAACATCATCTGGATGTCGGCCTCCTTCTGAGAGAGCTCGCGCGACGGCGCTACGGCATTGGGGGTCGCCATGATTGAATGCTGAGGAGGATCGAAATCGAGGATTTTGCCCTGCGCAATTGAGGGGTTGAAATTCTGTGATCTTCTTGCCTATTTATATCGGCGCGGTTTCGAAAAACCCTAGCACTCGAATTTTTCTTTTCTTTTTTCCCCTATTTACCTTCTCTCTCTTAAATATATATATATATATATATATATTTTTAGAAATCATTTCTTGGCTAATTTTATTTTAGCAATAATAATATACGCTCTGTAAGAAATATTTAAAAATTAGAATATTTGGATTTACCTATAAATGCAATTAAAATATTTTACTGCATTATGAAAAAAATAAAATAGTCTTACTTAGAAAATAATTTTGACATGTAAGATGGATTTAAAATTAGGCTTAAATAATATTCAAGAATTATTATTATTATCCCCCGATACATATGTGATAAAGACTTTTGTAAACTTATTCAGTGCTAAACAACCCTAATTGCTAACTTAAAAACATATGTGAACTTCCTTTAAAAATAAAAGGTGAACAATGTTATAGTAAAAACGTTCTATTGAATTATATTTTGTTAAGTTTGGCTTCTAACAAATCTTAAAAATGGCTTCTAATTTATTTATCAACCTTAAATGAATATATATATATATATGTCTTTTTTTTATTAGGATTCCTCCTATAAATTGAAAATCATTAGACAAATAAAATCTGTTGAGATTTGTAAATATTACACTACATAAATGAAAAAATTTAGAAATATTTTTAGCATAACAAAATCACCTAATAATTACAAAATAATTTTTACGATTTATGCTATAAATTACGTAAAATATATTATCTTTTTTTTATGAAAATATGCTGAATATTAATAGGCCAAATCGGCAATAATTGCAGAAGATATTATCATAACTTACTTATTATTTTCGTAAAATATTCTAAATATGTTGCTCTATTCAAAAATTAATACAACATAAATTTATGGGCCACTGTTAGGGCTTAGAGGCCCATAAACATCAATGGTCTTAACATCATTATGGGCCACTATTGAAGCCTACTGGACTCAGGCCCGTAATTTATAATTACATTTAAACCCTAACGGAAGAACGAAGTGAAGCTAGGACTTAGGAGGGGTTTTATGCCCCAACAACAGTCGCCAGAAATCGGACTCGCGCAACTTCTCTCCGCTCTGCCCGTCGGAGCTTCCAAATTCTTTCATTTGCAACAATGGCGGTCTCCAAATCAAAGAAATCCTCAACCGACCCGGAAGACCTAGAGCTTCTCAAGACAGACGTAGCCTCTTTCGCTTCCTCTCTTGGTTTGTCCTCCTCTCTCCCCTCTTCGGGCTTCAACGACATCGATTTTCGCAAAACCGGTCCTCTCCCGCCGACAAGACCGCAGAAGAGGCAAAAACAATCTCCGGCCGCCAAGTCGACGGAGAGTCAGAATCCTCGAGACCGGAATTCCAGACCTGGCGAGAAGCCCAAGCCTAAACCACCTGTTCTGTCACTCGATAACGGCAATGGCGGCAAGCATTTAGGGTTCGAGAAATTCAAGAACATGCCTAAGCTTCCGCTGATGAAGGCCAGCGCGCTTGGAGTTTGGTACGCCGATCAAGCGGAATTGGAGACGAAGGTCGTTGGGAAGGAGAAGAAGGTGGAGGCGACGAATCTGAATGAGTGGAAGAGTTTTGTGGAGAAAAAGAGAGAGCTTGGAGAGAGATTAATGGCACAATACGCTAAGGATTACGAGTCTTCGAGAGGGCAGAGTGGGGACATTAAGATGTTGTATGCCACGCAGAGGTCGGGGACGGTAACCGATAAGGTCTCGGCGTTTTCGGTCTTGGTTGGAGACAATCCCGTTGCCAATTTGAGGTCTCTTGATGCACTTCTGGGTAAATTCTATAATCTTTGTTATCTTTCCGGGTTTAATTTCTTTCGGTTTGGGATTCTTTTTATTGCTAAAAAGTGCCTAGTTTTAGAAGTGGAAGCAAATGTGTTATTAGCTGATGCCATTTCCTGAGTTTTCTTTGATCCGTTAACAACAGTTAGATGGAAAATATCGCAAAAATTATTGTCATACTTCAATCTGTTCAATAGGCAGTCTATTAGGAAACAGAGGACCTTACTATTTTTTTTAATGCCTTGAGGTAGCTTTTATTTCAACAGGTTGTTTCCTGCAGGAATGGTATCATCGAAAGTGGGAAAACGACATGCATTGACTGGTTTTGAAGCACTAAAAGAGTTGTTTATTTCAAGGTCGGCACTCTCGCTTTCCTGCTTTTTTTGTATGGCGGTCTCCAAATCAAAGAAATCCTCAACCGACCCGGAAGACCTAGAGCTTCTCAAGACAGACGTAGCCTCTTTCGCTTCCTCTCTTGGTTTGTCCTCCTCTCTCCCCTCTTCGGGCTTCAACGACGTCGATTTTCGCAAAACCGGTCCTCTCCCGCCGACTAGACCGCAGAAGAAGCAAAAACAATCTCCGGCCGCCAAGTCGACGGAGAGTCAGAATCCTCGAGACCGGAATTCCAGACCTGGCGAGAAGCCCAAGCCTAAACCACCTGTTCTGTCACTCGATAACGGCAATGGCGACAAGCATTTAGGGTTCGAGAAATTCAAGAACATGCCTAAGCTTCCGCTGATGAAGGCCAGCGCGCTTGGAGTTTGGTACGCCGATCAAGCGGAATTGGAGACGAAGGTCGTTGGGAAGGAGAAGAAGGTGGAGGCGAGGAATCTGAATGAGTGGAAGAGTTTTGTGGAGAAAAAGAGAGAGCTTGGAGAGAGATTAATGGCACAATACGCTAAGGATTACGAGTCTTCGAGAGGGCAGAGTGGGGACATTAAGATGTTGTATGCCACGCAGAGGTCGGGGACGGTAACCGATAAGGTCTCGGCGTTTTCGGTCTTGGTTGGAGACAATCCCGTTGCCAATTTGAGGTCTCTTGATGCACTTCTGGGTAAATTCTAGAATCTTTGTTATCTTTCCGGGTTTAATTTCTTTCGGTTTGGGATTCTTTTGATTGCTAAAAAGTGCCTAGTTTTAGAAGTGGAAGCAAATGTGTTATTATCTGATGCCATTTCCTGAGTTTTCTTTGATCCGTTAACAACAGTTAGATGGAAAATATCGCAAAAATTATTGTCATACTTCAATCTGTTCAATAGGCAGTCTATTAGGAAACAGAGGACCTTACTATTTTTTTTAATGCCTTGAGGTAGCTTTTATTTCAACAGGTTGTTTCCTGCAGGAATGGTATCATCGAAAGTGGGAAAACGACATGCATTGACTGGTTTTGAAGCACTAAAAGAGTTGTTTATTTCAAGGTCGGCACTCTCGCTTTCCTGCTTTTTTTGTTGGCATCAGTAATTCTTATGGTTTTATGGTCTCTTGAGCAAGAAATCTTCATTTGTGAGGCCAAAGAAAGGCAAAAATGAAACCAAGATCAAAGAAAGTATGAATTGCGAAAACTTACAAAACTCTTGTCCGAACACCAGAGAACAGCAAATAATAGTTCACAGGCTTGACAAAAGATAGGGTCGATAACTTGCCTGCAACTCAAAAATTATCAAGCTTTGTATTTTCACTGACTTTATATTTAAGCTTCTTTTTCCAGCTTCGTATTTTCACTGACTTTCCATTTAAGCTTCTTGTTCCAGTTTATTGCCTGATCGTATGCTTAAGAGCCTGTTGCAGCGGCCATTGAATCATCTACCTGAGACAAAAGATGGTTACTCCCTCTTGCTCTTTTGGTATTGGGAAGAATGCTTGAAACAGAGGTAATTGCAATTGCTCTTCTTCCTGTTATTCCCCTCATGACTAAAGTTGCTTAAGCGCCCGTTTGGTATATGGGTTCAAACCAGTGATTATGACTTTTGAAATTTAATTTTTTTTGAGAGAAAAACACTTTAGTAGACCCATAAATAATCTATATACCAAACATACCCTAAGTGGTTTTAAATTCGAGGGTGGGGAGTATTTTAAATCTTATTAGTTAATAAGTGATATTTTACTTGTAGTCTTCACGAGTAAACCTAATGTCTCAGGTATGAGCGATATATTTTTGCTCTCGAGGAAGCATCAAGAGATATGTTGCCTGTACTAAAAAACAAGGCAGTGAAGGTTAGCCATGTTTATATGCTCTTTGCATTTCTATTCGGTTTTCTTCATCCCACTTAGCATGAATTCTTTTCCCTTTTTATTTAACATCATTGATATTTAACTAAATAATGTATTTTGAGACATATCCGGATGTGCATGATGATGATTTTACAGAAATTGACTGTATAGGTAGAAGATAAAAATCTAAAAGATGTCGTGAATTTCTAATTCTCTTATAATTGTGATTTAGCTTTTGTGTTGCTTACCTGAAAATTTTCATCTATATTTATACACCTTTATGATGGAATTCAGATTATTGAAACACTGCTAAAGAGTAAATCAGAGCAAGAGCGCAGATTGCTCTCTGCCTTAGTGAACAAAGTAAGTGGCGTTTGAATTTTGAACTGATCAGGAAATTACTGCTACTTTTTTTCCCCCTTAAATTATAAGCCCAACTATATATCTGATTTACTTTTTTTTGTTGGATTACTTACAGCTAGGAGATCCAGAAAATAAGGGTGCTTCCAATGCTGATTTTCATTTGTCAGAGCTTTTGAGAGACCATCCAAATATGACGGTCTGGCACCTTTACATCTAACCAAGTCTTCCCTTCTTTATATTTTTGAGGCCTATGTGTTTAGTTAATTGGCTTCTACATGATTCTAGCTAATTAGCTGATACAATACAGATATACCACGCGTTTGTTTTATATGTTTAAACTACTGTTCAAGCCATTTTGCTACAATATTTTCTCTTACATAATTTAAATTTCTACTCAAACTTTTCTATTCAAACCTATAAACCAAACGGGCGTATAATGTAAATTGATCTTGAAATGGGTCCCCCCACCCAACCCAGAAAACCATCATCGTTTTGGAAATTCCCATCCCTTCAAGAAAAATGTACCTTTATTTTTTAGGACATCTTGCTTCTATTGCAGATAGATCCTGTTGTCATATAATGAGTAGATTTTTTTTTTTTTTCCTTTTTGTGTGTGTGCACTTCACGCTACGTGACATCAATTAAGGTCATGGAAAAAGGATATTAGCTTCTTTTTTCACGTTGTATGTGTGGATGTTAGATACTAATATGGTGGTTTTGCATACAATATTTTCATAAAAGCTCATTTTTACAGGCTGTAGTGATTGATGAGGTGGACTCTTTTCTCTTCCGGCCTCATTTGGGAATACGAGCAAAGTATCATGCTGTACGTTTTATAATTCTCACCTGTATTACTAAATCTTTACTACTACATTTGGATTGAGCTAGTAGTGCTCTTGTTTTTTCAGCATTATAGTCATTTTCTTATGCTATTGAAATCATGCATGTCACCATGTATATGTTGGCCTAGAAAATTAAACAATACAATAGCCTGAATACAGGATATACCACCCTGATTTCTAAACAATTCTTTTGCTCTTAGCCATGATTGGAGTCAGACTTCAATTACTGTATTGGGTTTTGATTTTCTCAAACCTGTCGACCTTATCGTCACATCTTTATGTGTATGCAGGTTAACTTTTTAAGTAAAATCCGTCTGTATCACAAAAAAGATGGACCAAATGTGGCAAAGCGTTTAATAGATGTATATTTTGCACTTTTCAAGGTATAGTGCTCCTTTTATGTCTAATTATAATTGACATGTTTGCAGGCACTTGGTTTCCATGCAACATAATATATATTCTACGTAATTTCACCTTCATTTATATAAAAATATCCTCCATTGGTTTTTTGAACAGACCGTTAAGTATTAAATGAGATTCTTCATTGAAATGGTCCTTGAACTATCTATCTGTTTTGAGTAAAGAGCAAAAAGGTGAAAAGACAAAAGAACTAAAAAAAAAAGTAAAAAAGGGAATGGAAAAAAAAAAAAAACAAAAAGAGTAAGGTTTTCACGGCTCAAAATCTCAGGTTCTGATCTCGGAGGTAGGAGATAGTCAGGAGAAGGATAAAAGTCACAAACCTGGGGATGGAAAGGATTCCAGATCTTTTAAGCATGGTAAAACAAAGCATTCATCAGAATCTCATGTTGAACTGGACTCACGTTTGCTATCAGTTCTTCTAACGGTCAGTAGAGTTATATCTTAAGCATATTATAAAGCTACTATAAATAGCATATATCATATATTTGCAGCTTATGCAACATTGTTGCTACGCCACTATGTCTTCTAGTTGCTGGTCGATCATGGTTGGCCATTGCTTGGCCTTTTTCCTAACTGTAGGCTGTAGCTCAGTATAGGCACTCAAAGTTTTACTTTTTATTTTTATTTTATTTTTATTTTTATTTTTTTTGCAAATGTTCCGCTGGCACAGGGAGTGAATAGAGCATTTCCATATGTCTCGACCAGTGATGCTGATGACATTATAGAGGTGCAAACGCCAATGCTATTCCAACTGGTAAGCCCAAAAAGCTTGATGGTTTACTAGAAACGAAGTACGATGAATGCCTTGTGTAGTAATGTGTGATGTCTCTACGTTTGCATCTATGTTGATTAAAACTTTAATGATGCAGGTTCATTCAGACAATTTTAATGTGGGAATTCAAGCGTTAATGCTTCTTTATAAGATCTCCTCTAAGAATCAGGTTGTCAGTGACAGGTTTTATCGATGACATCTTGCTTCTATTTATAAGATCTCCTCTAAGAATCAGGTTGTCAGTGACAGGTTTTATCGAGCCTTGTATGCAAAACTATTGCTCCCTGCTGCGATGAATTCTTCCAAGGCAAGTAAAATTCGACTTGCTTCCACTAGTTAGCCAGATGCTTTATTTTGGTGAAAATGAGGATTCTGTACATTGCAGGCGGAAATGTTTATTGGACTCCTCCTCAAAGCAATGAAAAGTGATGTGAATTTGAAGCGTGTGGCTGCTTTTGCAAAGCGTGTGATGCAGGTTATTATGAAAACTGTTCTAGCTGTGATTTTCTTTTTCCCTGAAGGGCATCGTTCTTTACTTCTTAATTAGATCTACACGTATTACGTCTTATTATAGCCTTGTTCATATTAGACATCCATTAATCGTTAAAAGAAATACATTTATTTGCCTTACCACTATTGAATATATTTGAGGGTAACGAGAATTTACCTGTTTTAAAGTGGTGTTCTGAACTTCAAAATCACTTCTTTTTTAAAAAACTGAAACAGGTAGCCCTTCAGCAGCCACCTCAATATGCTTGTGGATGCCTTTTTTTGCTTTCTGAAGTTCTCAAGACAAGGCCGCACTTGGGGTAAGGCTGCTCACTTGAGTCACTCGTAAGAATTTTACCTCACTTTTTTTTTCCAACTATTTACTATCATCATCTTCTGGCTCTTTGTGCAGGAAAATGGTGCTTCAGAGTGAGTCAGCTGATGAAGAAGACGAACATTTTGAAGATATTGTGGAAGAGGCTGATGATCGACCAGGCTCTGCTTCAGGCAAGCAAGAGACTGATGGTGAGCCTGTTGAGAATGGTGGTGCTGCCACCCCTGATGGTGATTCTTCGGAGGATGATGATGAGACTCCAGTCCCTGCCTCTGAAGATGAGGCTTCAGATGAAGCAGACGAGTTTCTTGTAAGAGATGATGCAGAAGACGTCAATGAAGCCAAAACAATGTCTGGTTCTAGTGGGAAGCAATCTCAAGCATCCTCTAAGAAGTCTTCACTGCCCGGAGGCTACGATCCACGGCACAGAGAACCGTCTTACTGGTGGGTTCTCTCTTCGAAGCTCTTTTTTCTTATAGGGTCTTTGCTCAGCTCATATTTATCTGGGTACCTATCTCCTATTTATGATAGGGATCTAGAAATAGAGATTGCAGGTAGTGCAACATCTAGGATTGGCAATCCCTTTTCTAGCGATTGCCTATGTGTTTTTCTTTTGCATCTTCAATTTAATCTTATTTTTCTGGCCGTATCGGTTTTTCATTTTTTTTTTCTTGACAAACAGCAACGCCAATCGTGTAAGCTGGTGGGAACTGACGGCACTTGCTTCACATGTGCACCCCTCAGTTTCCAACATGGCAAACAGACTTCTAAAAGGGAGCGACATTATCTACGATGGAAATCCATTAAATGACCTCTCGCTTACTGCTTTTCTAGACAAGTTTATGGAGAAGAAACCCAAATCCAGCACATGGCACGGTGGTTCACAAATTGAACCTGCCAGGAAGGTAAGCTGAACAAAGAAAATTTGCTTATTATTTCTATTTAGTCTTCTTCTAAACTAGTCTATGCTCCTCCTAGAGATCAAAGCAACGAATTGAGCAATGCCCAATTATCAAGCTGTTTAACGTGTGATGATTCTGAATAACTTTTTGTTCTTCCAGCTTGAAATGAGCAACCATTTGATTGGGCCAGAGATTCTGTCATTAGCTGACGAGGATGTACCGCCGGAAGACCTTGTCTTCCACAAGTTCTATGTCAATAAAATCAACTCCTCGAAGAAACAGAAGAAGAAGAAGAAGAAGAAAGGGGCGGATGACGAAGCTGCTGAAGAGTTATTTGGCGCTGGTGACGATGATGAAAGCGACAATGAAGAGATTGAGAACATGTTGGATTCTGCTAATATTTCTACGAATGCAGATGGTGACTACGATTATGATGATCTTGACCAAGTTGCTGAAGAAGACGATGAAGACTTGGTTGGTAATGTCAGCGACGCTGAAGATGCGGACATACCATCAGATATTGCTGAAGAAGAAGATTTTGATGCTACTGCAAATGAAAGCGATGATGGCGATGAGGACAGCGACATTATCAATATCGGAGATGCAGATGATGGCGGTTTTGAACAAAGGAGAAGAAAGCGAAAGCCTGGCAAGTCCAGAGTGTCTCCCTTCGCTAGCTTAGATGACTACGAGCATCTACTGAATGAGGATGTTCCTCCTGAAGAGGAACCTGCAAAGAAGAAGTCTAAGAAGTCCAAATCACGCCGGAAGAAGAAGTCATCTGACTAACTCCAAAATCATCGCCTTTTCTTGTTCAGTGTAGCCTGCCTAATGGAGGACTTTGTCCCTGAAATTCACAGCTGGGAAAACCTCAAAAGAGTGGGATTTTGCTGCCTTGCCTCTCAATTTGCTTGGTAATCATGCTTGTCCATCAATTTTGAAGTGTTGAAAATTAACTTATTACTTGTATTTGTACCGTCTTGAGTTTCTGAGTGATCCATCATATAAAAAAGCATGCTGAAGGGTTGTTGCAATAAGATGCACTACGAACGCTTCCTTACGTGCATGTTTTTTCATCAACCCAGACAATAGTTATAGCCAGATATTTCTGGAAAAGCCTGGGAAACCATAAATTCTTTTATAGTTGTTATTACAAATACATCAAGTTCTCATTAACAGGAAAGCAGAGATCTCTCCAGGGTTTAAATTAGTCCTGAAGTTTT